CGAACAATCTGTTTTTTTAGTAATTGAAAAAAAACAAAAAAAAACCGAATGGATTAATATCATAGTTCTTTGCCGGTTGCGAAAAGCCCAATAAATATTCAAGCCCAATAAATAGAAACTAAGAGGGAGCGTTAGGGTTTTCAGCACGAGCCTCATCGCCCCTATATATAACCTGTTGACTAAAAACCTCAAAACCCAAAGAATCAGCCGTCGTCTTGTCTTGTCTTGTCTGTTATAGGTTTATAGGGTTTTTGTTCTCAATCGTATTTCGCGTCAATAATACTGATTACCACCGTTCTTCGTTAATGTTCGTTGTGTATGAGCTGACGCTAAATTCGTTCCCTATTTCTGTTATTCGTTTTGATTCTCTCCGGAAAAAAAACCCTCTTCTGGGTTTTTTTCTTAATCAGGTCGAGTTTGCAGTTTAGGGCAAATCTGTTTATGTAGTGTATCGTAAGATCTCAGATTTATCTTTTTGACGGTAAGTTTTTTTGTGTTCCTTGGATTATTATGTCGAAACTAATCAATCATTGAGTTTGTTGATTTTATTATATTAAATCTGAAATATAGAGATTGGAGGTGATGACAATTTCCCCAGATGATCGAATTTGATTATACTGAGCGAATAGAATTTCCTTTCAACAGGGGAAATCAAGCCAATTAGTCTGATCCTTCTCTTTATTTCGTAATACAGTGTTGATTAGTTTGAATTAAATTTCTCTGTTTTTATTAGGAAATTAATGAGTTTTTTTTTATAATGGAGATATGGAGGTGATGACAATTTCCCCAAAAGATCGAATCTGACTATACTAAGCGATTATTATTTCCTTTCAACAGAGGAAATCAAGCCAATATTCTGATCCTTCTCCTAATTTGTTTTTTTATAAAGAATTTTTTTTTGAATTTCTGGTTTTTTTTTAATCATAAACTAATATATATTATGGTTTTATGGAGGTTTGGAGGTGATGACAATTTCCCTAAATGATCGGATCCTTCTCCTAATTTTTGTTTTCAGTTTTCAAATATTGTTTTCATGGTTTTAGATTTTGTTTATGATGAGAACAGTACTTCTGGGACAAAGATTGGATTGCTATCATTTAGACATGACAAAATATATTAAGTTTGGTCAAGAATTGGAATATAAGTTAATTGTATTCAACATACTGGATAAGACCTAACCCGAAGTTTATAACCGACATGACTCACATTTGAACTCGCCTATGCTGCAAAATATTTGAAATTTCGGACTCCAATCTCAATAGTGAAAGTGATATTTTACCGACATGACTCACATTTGTTATCTATATATTCACAATTATCTTTACAAATTTATAAGTGATATTTTACAAAAATGTCACACTTTTGAAATTTTTACTAAAATGTTATTTTTTCAAAATTATTTATAACCGACATTTATAACCGACATGACTCACATTTGTTATCTACATATTCACAATTATCTTTACAAATTTATAAATGATATTTTACAAAATGTCACACTTTTAAAATTTTTATTAAAATGTTATTTTTTCAAAATTATTTTTTCCTTATATTATTTATATTTGGATTAATTATTTTCTATTATGATTTAGTTACGAGCGTTTAGGGTTTTTAGGAATCAAAACATTTTTCCAGTGG